CCCGCCGCCAACAATCGGCGGGTTCACCCTCACGCCCGGCGGCACCTTTGATTACGGCTGGACGGTAGCGAAGAGCGTTGGCAGCGCAGCGCCGGGCGCAACGGCGAACGTTCGTATTCAGAAAGGCCTCAAGCAGGAGGTCACATACACAATCACCTCGACGCGGTCCGTGATTGCGTCAACCTCGGCCTTGACAATCAGCGGCAGCTTCACGATCACAAACCCTAACGCCGTCAACCCCACACCGCCGCCGGACAACTCGATCGTGATCAACTCTGTCACCGCGACCATCACCGGCGGCGCGGCCAACACGGCCATCACCGCGCTCACCGGCTGCGGCGCGGGGACGTCGATCCCGGCGGGCGGCGGGTCGGTGGTGTGCAGCTTTGCCAATGCGCAGTTCAACGGGCAGCCGGGCCAGACGGCCAGGGTGGTCGTGGTCGTCAATTATGTCGACAACACGGTCGCCCCGGGGGCAGTCCAGGACTCCCCGCCGGCGACGTCCCCCGATGTGCGTGGCGGGCCGCGCGCGCGCATGCAGCGCCTGCGGACACGCACGAGCGGCAGCTTCCTGCATGCGCCACGAGCGTCTGCCCAGGCCCCTGACGGCCCTCGCATTCGCAACCACACCCGGCAGCCGACCCCCCTCTGCCCCCCACCTCCCATCATCTCACTGCATGCGCCGCCAGGTTGTCTTCACCTCCGTCGTCGGCAGGTTTAAAACCGCCCTGCTGAAGGACACTTTCAACTACGCAAACCTGGACGCCCTTTACACTGGATTTTCAGGATTCACCCGCAACACAGTGTTTTATCCAAAGGACGCGGCCAGCGCCATCCCGGTGGACGGCGTGACCATCGACGCGGCCACGGACACCCGCACGTGAGCCACTGCGGGTGGGCTGATGTGCAGCGGCAGCGGCGGCGTCCGCGCACGGCCGCCTGCTGGCGCACCTCCTGCCCCAGCTGCCTGGTGGCGGGTCATGATTTCAGCCCCTCATGCTCACTCACTCACCCTGCTCCTGCCCCCTGACCCCTGCCGCCTCCTCGACTCACCCCATGACTCGCCCCTAGTTACACCATGGTGATCGACTCCATCATCGTCTGCACGGCCGACGCTGGCGTCGCAATCACCAACACGGCCTCGTTGACGCCGACGGGCGGCACTGTAGTGAACAGCGCCGCCACGCTGCAGCTGGTGGTGTTTGGCTGCAACGTGCCGCCTGACGTCACCTTCCAGGAGCTGACGACCTGGGGGGCGCAGACGTTCTCGTGGCAGCTGCAGAACCAAGCCAAGGGGTGAGCCCGGCTGCCGCGGCGCGGCGGGGCGTGTGGGCGCGGGCGCGGGCGGGTGCTACTGGGCGCGCTGGTGCAGGGCAGGAATCTGTGTTAACATTTGCGCTTTGTGCAAAGCCCCTTGCTGAGTCACATATGTGCTGTTGGTCCACAGCCTTGAGCCCTCCGCCTTTGGCCCTTGCCACGCTCCGTTCTTCAATCACGACCCGATTTCGCTCTCCTCGTCGCCACTCCCCTGGCGGACCGCACCGCACCGCCCGCAGGCAGCTGTTCTCTGTGCCCCCCAGCCAGGGCAGCCAGGCGATCGGCTACACGCTCACGGCCACGGCCTCTGAGAGCGGCGCGGCCAGCACTGCGGTGTCGGGCGCCCTGTTCATCACCAACAGCCAGTCCGGCATGATGAACATCGCGCGGCTGCAGGTGAGGAGCCAGATCGCGCGTGAAGGCAGATCTTTGCTGACTTTCTTGGCTCATCCGCGTTTGGCACCCCTCAACCTGCCGCGGTCATCAGTTGGTGAGATGTGCTATTTGTGCTGGTTGCATAACGACCAGCATGAGTCGCCCAGGCAAATGGCAGCTCAAATGCCACGAGCCTCGTTACAAGCGTGCCCCGCAAGCCCTGCTCGTGGGCGCGCTCGCAAAGCTACCCCCCCCCCCCCCCGCCCCCCTATGGATGCTCCTTTCCAACCGCCCGCAGGTGACGCTGAGCAGCGGGCAGTCCATCACGCCCTCCTGCTCCCTCACCACACCCTTCGTCTCGTCCAACGGCAACAACTTTGTCTTTGGCGGCATCAACTCGGGCGGCTCGACCACCGTGCTGCCCTACCTGGGGAACGGCTTCGGGACCGGCATAGCGGGCGCCTTGAACAACTTCAACACCCTGGGCACCATCACCCAGTTCTTCCTGCCCGAGTTTTCCAGCGCGCGGTGCCCCTTCAACATCACGCTGACGGTGCGCGGGTGTTCCTGTTAGGGTTGCTGCTGCTTGGGGTGTCGCTTGGCCGGGGCCTGATGGTCAAACGGGGAGTGGGTCAGCCGTGTCAACAACAGGGAAGCTGCGAGGGCTGCGGCTGCGTGCAGGCAAACTTGATTGGAAACCCGGGGCAACTCATGAGGTAACACACACAAGCCCTGCACAGCACGCCAAGCTGACTGCACACAGGCAGGCCCGGTCATCGACCGCGTTGGCCTCTTGGCGGAGCCTGCCCATGTTTTCGCCCTTATGGCACCACCCAACCGGCTCGTCCGTCCTCCCACACACCCACACACCCCTGTGCACACAACCCGCAGAACCCTGGCAGCCAGACGGTCCAGGTCACTGCCCAGGTCAACTGGGGCTTTGGCGGCATGTACACCCTAGCCAACCCGGTGCAGCAGCAGGTGTCCCTCAGGCCGCCAGACAAGTTCTTCCCCGTCGGCAACTGCGTCACCCTTAGTAACCAGGTGAGGTGGCTGCTGGCTCCACAGCGAGGACGCTGCGGCACCAGGTGCAGGTCGTGGCTGCGCTTGCAGGTTGGTGACTGTCAAGGTCGAGCATCCTCCACCCGTCACGCCCCTACCTGGGACCCCTGTCTCTGCTTGGACGGGGCCGAAGGCCTCGTTTTTCCGCCCACCCCTGCCCTATCACAATCTCCCCTCCCCACCCCCTCCCGCAGGTCATTGCTGGGCAGCTGGCAGTGACCAACGGCTTCCCCAACCAGCAGCAGGTGTGCGTGCAGGGCAGCCAGGCACCCTACCAGCAGCCGCCGGCGGTTGACTACACTTTGACCGCCAGCGTGGGCCCTGAGGTCAGCCAAGGCTGCACCGCAGGCACACCAAAGAGGTTCACGGTGAGAGCTAGGCCTCAACATGAGGGTTTGAGCCGCTGATGGGCGCAGGGCCCTTGCAGCAAGCAACAAGTGTCTGCACGTTGGCTGGGAGGTTGATGATTTGCCTATTGACTCTGGCCGGGCACAAACCGCTGCTTTGCACGGAGAGCGCATCGCGCCCCGCCTGCTACGGCTGCAGCCCTTCCTGTTGGCAGGCAAGCAACCGCACCCCTTCGCCCACGCGACATGACCCCCCATCCCCCGCGCCCGCCCCCCGCAGATTGCCAACACGGCCACGGCCACGCCCGTCGGCGCCGCCGCCGCCCCGGCCACCGGCACCGCGGACGTCGTCAACCTGGACATCCAGTGCCCTGCCGCCGCCGCGGCCCCTGCGGCGCCCGTGGCATCGCCCCCCACCAACAACCAGGTGCTGCAGTCCGTTGGCTCCCAGCTGGCAGTCACAGTGGGCGGCTTCCAGACGTACGCGCTCTCCTCGTACGTCTGGACTGTCCAGCAGTCCGCGGACACCAACGACACGGTCTCCCTCTCCATCGGCGCCCCCAAGCGCACGCTGAACTTCACGGTCCGCGTGACCAAGCAGCCGCCCCAGGACACCGCCCACTTTGTCGCCGGCCAGATCACGGCCCGCAACCCCGGCCCGGCCACGTCCGAGGTCACTGCCGTCTTCGTCACCGCCGGCGACGCGTCGGTCCCCGCGACGTGCGACTCGAGCCGCCCGGGCGGCCTGGTCCTCAACGCCAACGAGGCGCTGACCTGCACCTTCAACGTGTCCTGGAGCCGCGGCAACGACGCCGGGTTCCTGGGGGCCCGCGTGGAGGCAAAGGACGGCAAATTCTTTGCGTCGCCGGCACAGTTCGACTTCTCCGCCGTCCGCCGCGCCGACCCTGTAGGCGCCACGGCCACGGTGTCGGTCGACCTCACCGGCGTCGCGCCCGACAACTCGACCGCGGCCGCGTGGCTCGCGCGCGGCGCCGGCGCCCTGCCTTCCACGGATGACAGCAAGAACGCCAGCCTGGCAGCGACGACGTCGGAGTCAAAGGACTATGTCTTCGGCGTGGACGTTGGCCCATTTGCCGCACCGGCGCCGTGCGGGGCGTACTCGCTTTCGAGCGTCGCCACGGTGACCCCCGCAGGCGCTCCCGCCACGTCCGTCGCGCGCGCCGCGGCGAACGTCTCCGTGGCCGTCGCCGGCTGCGGGGCGCAGCAGGTGCAGCAGCTGCAATCGGTGGCCGCGCCCGGCAGCCTCGCGCCGACGGTCAGCGGGGTCAAGACGGCGCTCGTAGCGCGGGACGCGTGGAGCGCCGCGGCCGACGCGCCCCCTGCGCCGGTCAAGGTGGCGTCTGGCGCGTCGGGCGACGTGAGCTTCACCGTGAACTTTGTCAAGGCCCCCGCCAACGAGTTCGAGGTGTCCGGCTCGGTCGACGTCGTCAACAGCAGCCCCAACGAGGCCGCTGAGGTGGCGGGCGTCGCTGTCACCCTGAACCCTGACGGGGGCGCGGCCCCCAAGACCGTTGAGGCGACGTGCGGCGACAAGACCTTCCCCTTCTCGGTGCGCGGCGCTCTGGGGTCGACCCGTGATCAGACAATGCTGGGCCTCGTGGCCCGTGCGCACGGGAGTTTCGGCTGCTGCAGCACTGGGCGGGCGGGGAAATCGCCGCAGCTGCTGCCTGCTTCGACTCAGCACGGCTTGCCGCGCTGCTGGGCAGAACAGACCCCGTTCACTGAGGTTAAGTGGCTCAGGCCCAGTGGACATCGACATTCATCTCGCTGCAAGCCACCCACTTGATGTCTTTGCCCTCTCCCCCCTCTCCCAAAAACCAAACAACTCCAGTTGGCCACCGGCGCGACTGTCACGTGCACATTCGTCGCCAAGGTGGACACCGACGCGTCCGGCCGCGTTGTTGCCACAGTGACGGACGCGTCCGGCAAGAAGTCGGACGCAGCTCCAGCGGCGTTTGGCTTCGGCGGCGCCGCCGAGCGCAGGGCCTCCAACACCAATGACTGCGCGACTGCCAAGACGGTGCGCTGCACGCACGAGCGCACACTCAGGCCCCCGGCCCTCGCCTCTTGAGCCGCCCGCTGCTGAAGGCGGAGCCCCACCCCTGCTCATCCTGCACATGGACCGCCATCGCTCTGCTCGTCTGTGCGAAGCACGCGCCCAGCGAGCGCCAGCACTGGTTCTGACCTATTCCTGCAAGTCTTGACGCTGTGATCAACCGTGCGTCCCGCTCCTGGCGTCGCAGGGCAAGCTCGTTGGCGTGGGCACCTGGCAGCCGAACAAGGTCCTGGGATACCAAGAGACAGACCGCAAGATCTGCGCCACCACACCAGTCCAAGTCAAGGCCACCCTCGGGCCCTTCGGGCCCCGCCAGTGCGGGACGTTCCAGGTCCTGCACGTCGCCACCGCGACGCCGCTTGCGCGCGGCGCTGCGCCGGCCACGCTGGTGACGCCGGTGACCGTGGAGGTCACCGGGTGCCCCAAGGACGGCGTCCCGGCCGTGCCTCTGGTGACGGTGGCGCCCCCCAAGGTGGAGTTGGAGGAGCGGTACACCTGGCGGGTGACGCTGTCTGACTCGGCGCCCAACCCACTAGTCATCAAGCAGACCCAGCCTGTCAAGGTGGTGTTTGTCGCCCGCACGGCGCGGGATGCGGCAGAGAAGACAGCGACTCTGGACGGCACCGTGACGCTTGAGGGCGCCGGCAGCGATCCGCTGCCCCTGCAGAGCGCATCGGTGGGTGGCTGGCAGCGTCTCGCGTGTGATAGCGACAAAATTCACATGTGCTTGGGCACTGCGGCGGGCACAGCATCCTGCAGGGTTCTGCCTTTGGCTTGCACGACGCCACTTGCTTGGGCTAGCTATGCAAAGTTCACATTGTCACTCCCACCCCCCACACATATCAAATTCAGGTCTCGATCTACGACGGCCAGTCCGCCTACACCTCCGCCCCCCTGGACTGCGGGCCCGCCTCCGCGCCCGGCGGCGCCGTGACTGTGCCCGCCAAGGGGGCTGGCCCCCTCGCCTGCAAGTTCTCCGCAAAGGGCCTCACCCCCGGCGACGGCGTGGTATTTGCGGCGCTCATCCCCGCGGGCGCCACCGGCCCGCTGCCCACAAACCCGCTCGCGTACAGTGTGGCGGGGGCGGCCAAAAACGGCGTCGGCCGCTGCGCCGACCTCGGCAACTCGCTGCAGCTGCTGCAGGGCGGCCGCGCCGCGCCCTGGCAGCCGGTGTTCGCGGGGCAGCCGTTCGGGGGGTCCGCGTGCCGGCAGGGCACCGACCGTTTCGTGGCATGGTTTGGCGGGGACGCGTCTGGCCGGCCGGCCCTGCCTGCCTGCGGGGACTATGCGTTCGACGGCACCGTGACCGTCCTGCCCCAGGGCGGCAGCGACGCCGTCACCGGGCAGACCAAATTCGCGGTGAAGGTCACGGACTGCGCGCCCGGGCGATGAGCCGGGGCGGCACGGGCAGGCGCGGGGGCCGCGCCGGCGGGCCGCTGCGGCGGTTTTCCGGGCGGTCGCCCATGGGCGCCGCCGCCGCCGGGCCTGGGGCAAGCCTTGACGCAAGAGTCAAAGCGGCTAGCCGCCCGCTCAAGCGCGTCGCAGCGGCGCCGCGCGCTTTGTGTGACAGGGCTGCGCGGCCCGCGCGGGCCGCCGCTGGACAGGCGTTCCAGGCGTGCGCTTCCCCGGCTGCTTTTCACGTTTCATTGGCATCGGGGTGACATTGGGGCGCACTGTTTGCGCGGAATCTGCTGCCGCGTGGGCCCATCAATTGTGTTTTTGGCCGGCCCTGTCGGGAAGTATTTCAGCGCAGTCGACGTTTTGGGCTGCATGCAGCCCAGCATCAGGCACGCATGCGGCGGCGCGCGGCGCCTGCCACCTCAACACCGATCGACGCGCGCCCGAGCGCATCTGGCTGCCCCCTCAGCTTCCTGAGGCGCCTCGCCTTTGGCTTTTACCCAATGCAGCTCGGTTTCATATCACGTGGGCCCTTTCGAATTTCAAACCTTCAGGTGTTCGGGCGGCGATGCGCCGTGCCCTTCGCGCCCAAACTAGTGACGACGCTGCCGCTCTCTGACCAAAGGCGGCTGCGCTACCTTTCTCTCACAGACGTACACAAGCACCATGTGCGCATTGCCCACCACGCACGCCGCCCTGCAGTGTGGCTCTGGCGCATCTGCGCTGTGCGCCACCAGGCAACAGGGAGCTGCACCCCTGACGCTTCGCCGGCCGCCCGCTGCAGCCCCTGGTTGCAGCCCGCCACTCCCGACTGGAGCGGCGCCTCTTTGATTCTCACGTTTTCATGCGGCAGCCGCAGCGCGGCCACGGCCACTCCTCAGGGTTACCCGGCACCTGGTAGCTGCAGAGCTGGTGCTGTGAGCGCCGCGGCCCAGACTCTTTCCATCACCCCGCGCGCGTTGATTTGTCGACCATAAATTCGGAGGGGCGGTTGTCAGGGGCTGAGCTCCACACCAACCCGCAAGAACGCACACGCGCCACAGCAGCCGCGCTGCACCGCAGCCCCAGGCCCCATTACCACCCTCTTCCCGATTTGTCACCGCTGCAGCTTCACTTGCACCGCCGCTATCACTTGAAATAGAGTGTCCCATTTGCCCTGCACACGATCTCCAAACGTCAGAAAGCAGTCGCATTGCACACCTCATCCGCGCCTGCACGCCCAAGGACTTCTCAGTTCCAGCTGCCTTGCTGCGCGGCCATCGCGGCAGCAGCGGGCCGCCCCGACCTGCATGCGTGTGCATGTTGCGTCCGCTTTCTGTTGGTGTGACTGATTTGTTTGTTGTTTTGCATCAGGGCGGAGGAAGGAGCAGGCGGGGCAGGGAACCTTCGTATCTGATAGGGGCGACGTTGCCACCGACATCTGTGACAAGTGCCCTGTTTTTCCTGTGCCATGCACCAGTGTGCTTACTTATTGACTGCGACTTTTGGCGGTGCCTAGCACACCACACATGCGCAGCTACGTCGTGTTTGCTTTGTTCTTATTGCATACGGCTGGTGGCACAAGCGTGGTCCTCAGCTCACCTTCGCCTTGACATGACCTCTTCACTTGATTTCAGCCTTTGTGACAAATTCAACTGCTGATCTGCTCCAGTCAACACAACAGAACCCGCTGCATGTAACAAGTCGTAGTCCAAGAGCCTAAAGACTTGTGGAATGGACCAACTGAACAGGCTGATGGGTTGGTGATTGCTGTGTTGACGTCGACGGAAGGAAACGTGAGCTGCCAACGTCGCATGCGTACCAACTCTCATCAGCCCCCCCCCCCCCCCGGGCCGCTTGAAAGCTCCACTGTTGGGTCACGTT